AGTCTAAGGGATATCTGAGTAGCTTGTCTGTGAGCGTTTGGTCACAGCTGTCTCAGGGACAAAGAGGTGGGACTGTCGTTGGTGGATGTGACACTAGCACACTTCAGTGGACGAGCCATTTTGTTCCAGTGTCTCCCATCTGGCCTCACCTGGGCCTGAGGTACTACATCTCAGCCAGTCTTGCCAAGGTCCTGAGGAGAAAACTAGGGGAGAAAGCAAACTAGGGTATGTTTCTGAGGGAACTGTTAACCAGGTTAGCAGGCCTCCTGGGCTGGGCTGTGGCAGCAGAGAAAACAAAACTGAGCCCTGCTCAGAAGCTTTCATAAGACCGTGGGCTTTGTAGCTACTGTCTGGGGTTTTATTCTGCCTCTTGTGCTTACTAGTTCTGATATCTTAGATAAGTAACTTAACTTCTGTGCCAAGTCTACAATTTAGGAAATACTTCAACTGCTACTAATGGAGATCTTCACAACCTCTTAAGCAACAGAGGCGCTTATTTCTTCCTCACATATTTTCCATCTTTCTGCTTTGCTATCCTTAGCATATGGATTATGCCTCTAATGTTGTCTCATGGTCCAAGATGACTGCAGTGCTCTAGCCATCACATCTTCATTCCAGGTATCAGGAGAGAGGGTAGAAATATTTTACAGAGCTTTTCCAGATGTCCCCCTCCTTTTTTTTTTTTAAAGCATTTCGAGAAATCCCACGCAACATTTCCCTCTTACACTTCGTTGTTTGGAATTTTTTCATATGGGCACACCCCATGGCAAGGAAGGCTGTGAAATGTAGTCTCAGCTTGGCACATTGCTTCCTCAGATAATATTGGGGTTTTGTTCCTAAGTAAAAGGTTAAAATGGATATTGGATAGGCAGCTAGCAATTTCTCTCATACTGAGTTCCATCTGTAAAATGGGGATATTAATAATACCCACATATACAGTTTTTGTGCTACCTATACCCAGTAAGGATTTAATATATGTTAGCTCAATTCCTGGTTATCAAGAGAGAATGAAGTGGAAAAGGAAAATAATGTTGGCATTACCAGAAAAATAGTTTTGACCTCACAGACCTCCTGAAATGTCTCAGGGATCCCCAGAGAGCCACACTCTGGGGACAGCCTTGGAGAATCAGATAGTTCTTGGGCCTGCTAACCAAGCTCCAGTACAACATTGAAAGGACACACAGGCATCCTTTATAAAGTTTGGATAATTTTTGTTGATCTGGTCTGTTGTTTATCGAAGATCTAGCATAATCTGCAGTGCTCCTTTCTCTGTAAATCTTTGTTTTTCCATCTTCCATTTAGAAATGTAAGCCTCATGAGGGCTTGCCAGCCTCACTTCGCTGCTTGACACGTGGAAGGACAGCCATAGATATAAACTTGACACTGTTGAACTTTGCCCAAGCGCTATGCTCTTGGAAAACAGTGAAGGCTAAGACCCACCTCCCAACATGTTTGTGTCTGGAAAATGGCTTATTGTGAAGAACCATCCTTCCTTCCCCACATGACTTAGAGAAGACTCAGGGGTGGCCCCCTTGTTTACCTATGACAAGGCCAGACACAGACCCTCCAAATTCCCTTTCTTTGCCTCATAAATGATTAGGTGGGCCACTTGTCCCCATTGATCAATTGCAACAAAATGCTTGTTAACCAAACTTTCATGAAGCCTCTCTCCATCATCCAGGCCCCTGAGTGAACTCTGACCCACCCTCAACCTGACCCAGCATCCAGACCCACTGGAGAATAGGCTGGGTTTTCTATCCAGTCCCACCATCCTTAGTCCCACTTCCTCACACCTGGTTCTTTCCAGCCTTGCTTATTCCTCTCCTTTTCTTCATAACTCTTAGATGCTTGCATACCTTATAGTCAGAGCATTGTCCCTATGGCATCAGTCCTCCCCCCCATTGCAACAGTCCCTCTCTCCTCTTGCAGTAATCCTTTTGAAGAAAGTCTCACCTGAGTCTGGATTTGCTTTTTATTGGACATGCTGAATTGAAACAAACAACTGTAATTGATCAGAGTGTGGCTATATTAATTCAGCATTGCAGATTCTGTTCTGATCCCTCTCCCATTAGTCACACTTTTAAATTCTGCCTCCTAGACTTGCCAAATCCACCAGGCCATGGCCAGGTGCTTTGGGCCAGACAACTGGGCCTTTGGAGTCAAACCCAGTAGGAATTGGATTTGGTGCTGCCACTTCCTATATACCTTAGTCTGGTCACTGAATGGCTCTTCTCTTGAACCACCATTTAATGAGTACCTACCAAGTGTAGACACTGAGTTCGGCACTGGGAGTGGTGAGCAAAACAAACTTAGAGATGATAATTAGGGGCAGAAGGATTCAGGCAATAAAACAATTAACCGAGAAGTGCAATGAAGAAACAGAATGATCTGACAGAGCACAGAGGGAGCACATATGTATATAGTGTAGTCAGGGACAGCCCTGCTGAGACAGTGGCTTATCTGAGGCCTGAGGATCAGAAGGTCTCGCTGAGCCAGCAGCTGAGAGAAGGACATTCCTCTGAAGAGCCAGAGGTGGGAGATCTGGGTATTTAAAGGCCAGAGAAAAGTGGGGCATTTTAGAAGGAAAGGGTAGAATGGTAGAGAATGTGCTGTAGCCCTCACACTGTTCTGGACTTTTGTCTGCCGAGATAAAGAACTTGATTTTTATTCTAAGTGAGATGGAAAGCTATAGAAGGGGTTTCTGAGATCTTAATGTTTTCTCCTTTTGCTTTGTTGCTTAGTTTGATTGCTAGTGAGGTTTAATTTCTCTTCCCTGTTAGCCATTTGTGTTCTGCTCGTGCAGAATTGTCTGCTCATGCTCTCCATCCATTTATCTACTGATATTTTAGTGTGTTTCTTATTAATTTGATGAGGTCTCTCTCAATTAAGGATTTTAATCTTTTGCTGCATTTGTTTCTCCTAGATTATGGTTTGCTTTTTAATTTTGATTTCCTTTTAAGGGTTTCAGGCTTTAAAAGTTTGTGTTTTAGTATGTGAAAGAGTTCGTGCATCACTTTTAAGCTTAAGGAGTCAGTCCTCTGCCATTCGAGATTTGATAAATTATGCTTCTCTGGTCCGCGTTTCGTAACCTCGTGGACGGGGTTGAGCAGAGCAAACTCCTGTGCCCCTGGCCAGCGAGGGCTGGGCATGCGGAGACCCCCTCATCCTCCTAGACCGAGCCAGAGGGGCTTCTCCGCCCGAGGCCGTAGTCGGTAACACCCATTATACTGGGAATCCGAACTCTCGTTACAGATCAGGGACACAGGGCGGGGCCAAAGGCCTGTTCTACGGGTAAGAAAGCTGAGGTTCAGCAGAAAGCTGAGAGGGAGACGTTAAAGTGTTTAACAGCCTACAGCAGAGACAAAAGCTGGAGCCAGGACCAGCGGGTGCAGAAGTGGCAGGCAAGCGGGAGGGGCCAGTGTCAGGTCACTGAGCTGAGGCCCCGCCTCTGCCCGCCCCATACTCCGGGCCCCGCCCTGCGGGCTGAGCTCCAGGCAGGTCCCATAGTGGCCTCTCAGCACAGCCCGGCCCATCCCAGTCCCCGCCCACCGCTGATTTCATTGGCTGCCTCTCTGTCCCCGCCCCCGGAGAACTGCTGATTTTCGCAGCCAATCAGCAGACGCAGCAGCGGCGGCGGCGGCGGCGTCGGCTGGTCTCGGCGGATCCCGGCGGAACCCGATTGAACCCGGACGCTGAGGTACCCGAGTCTGCGGGGGTAGGAGGGTAGGGAGCCGGGGCTGCGGTCCTGTTTGGAGGTAACGTGTAGGCCCTTTGCGGCGCCGTGGCGTGGCCCTGCTTGTCAGCTGGGTGGCGAGCTGCAACTCCTGGGTCTCCGAGGTCACTTCTGCCGCTGGAGATGCGGCGGCGTCCGAGACCGTGGAGGGCTGGCCCGAGGTTTCTGGTGTCGGAGGGCAGAGGTCGGAGGTCGTGCTTGTGTGGAATGTTGGGGCCCCGCCCGTCTAAGCATAGGTCGGGCCGCTCCCCGTTTTTTTTTTCTTCAGTCAGCTCGTTTGAGTACCTCGGTCCTTCCACGGAAGGAGCTCCGAGGGAAACTGAGGCCTGGGAGCCGCCAGGGCTCCTTGCAGGCCCTGAGCTCGGACAGGAAGGCCCGCGCCGAGCTCGGGTCGCCACAGGTGACTCTCCGGCCCCGGCAGAACGGCTGCCCCTCCCTCCTCCGGGCTGGCGGGGGCTCTAGCGTGTGGGGGAGGGGGCGGGGGCGAGATGCGGTGGTCGCGCGGGGCCACGGCTGCCCTGAACGGGCCGCTCCCCTCGGGCTCCGAAGAAACCTGAGGATGCCAACTCTTTTTGAGACTGTCATTCCCCGTGTTTGAGATTTCATTTCTGGAAGTTCACTCGAGCACTTCGGAGAGAGGAAAGGCAGCACTGCGGCTTCTGCACTTGTCTGGAAGTGAAAATTAAAACCAGACACGGGAGGTACTGAAGGCAAAGGGACGTGGCGAGAAACTGGACGAGTTTCTCAGTTTGACAGGAATCTTGCCCCTAACTTGCCTCACATATTATATAATTCAAGCTATTTCAGAATCGGAGTATTTAATCTCATAGTTCTAAGCAAGTGCCCTTAGTCTTGACCTTAGTGACGATACTTTGGAATGTCTGAAGTATTGAGCAAGAATTTTTTCGTACAAAGGTAGGTTCCGAGTTTAAGCTTCTCAGTGCCAGGAAGTCAGAACAGTCCTTTCCTCTCCTGGCAATCATCCCATCTGCCCCTCTGCTACTCCGGGACCAAAAAGAGAAGTCTTTTCTCTACATATGTGGGTTTTGGGGAGACAGCTATGGATGAGGAATAAGGGAAAAAGGAGGATTCTTTTGTTTTCTGCGCAAAAGGTGTGCAGTTATGGGGAAAAAAGTGTTTTTATTTGTTTATCTCTCTCCTTTCATCTCAGCCAGCATAAACATATTGTGCCTTTTTTTGTACCTACGGCATGTGTTGATTATTTATAATATTAGGGAAAGGAGTCATCTCTAACAGCACGAAGACACTTATCTTCAGTGTAGCTACAGAAGAATGACTGCCTTGTGTGGAATTAACACTGGGGTTTGGTTTTCAGTTAAGAAAATGAGGCAGAAGGAAGTGTTGACCAAGACCTTCCAAGGCCCAGCCATTGTCTATAGGACTCCGGCCAGCCACGTTTACATGTTTGAGAATGGCGGTGGGGATTCGGGGGACTCCTCTGAGGAAGAGACCCACCGAGTGGCCCTGCGGCCCCGGGGCAAGGAGCGCCAGAAGAAGGGTGCCCACCACCCTCACCAGCCTGGAGCAGGGGACGTGGTGCTGCTGCAGCGGGAGCTGGCCCAGGAGGACAGCCTCAACAAGCTCGCGCTTCAGTATGGCTGCAAAGTAAGAAACCCCGCAGGTGAAGGAGCCATCTGCCTTCGCCCTGTGTGTTTAGAGGAGCAGGAGCTCACTGAAGGGTGAACCTGCTGCCCCTTCCTGACTCCCGCAAGTGGTTGGGAGAAGCCTGCTATGGGTAAAGGAGACCTCTTTCTAGCTTGAGAGTGAAGGCAGGTGGAAGTACTTAACCATTCTGAACCCTGGGGTCATAGGATTAGGAGTTTCCGGTGATGGGGCAGTTCCCTCTCCACAGAGTACTTCTCTTCCTTATCCCTCCAAACTGAGATGCTGAAACCTTTTTTTTTTTCCTTTTGAACACATTTTATTTAAGACTATGTCGGGGCCAGAGATGCCAGGTAGAATTTATCCAAGATTTTTTAGGTATGCTTGCATTTTTCTGCTACTTTTCTTTTTCTAAACCTTTCTTGCCGATTGTAGCTCCTTTGGTAGAGTTTTTACCTTCTCTCTTTTAGAACTGCATGATCTGGCCTTTGTATGCTGTGTATCTATATAACCCTGTTTCTCTCTTTAATTATGTTTTTAGCTGTCAGAGTGATTAACAATGGCAAAGTAAGTAGGAAAGTGTTTATAGAATTGCTGCATTGTCGTCTCGATTGAAACTGTTTCAGTTTTGCTAACACTGTACTGCTGCTTTCTGTGGCTTTCTATAAGCTACTTATTTAAAAAAAATATCTTTTCATCCTTGAAGTGTTATTTATTTAACAAGGTCCAAATGGCTCAATATGAAGTGTGGGGATGGTGGTGTGTTTTCCCAGGGAAATAAACAGGCCGGTCTCCCAGGATACATAGTGGTCTCTGCATTGTACTGAGATTTATATTTGACTCTTACAATCAGCTTCTGTAGGCATACTATATAGTTTATAGAAATTGTACAGAAAAATGAATCATCTCCTCTAGAGACCTGAATAGATGCAGTGGGCTTCTTGGAATGGTGATGTTTAATAAACCCAAAAGTATTATATAAATAATGCATCTGACAAGTAATCCGTTCTCCTATTTGAAGTAAATAAATTTGATGTTAGCTTATTAGGATCAAAGCTAGAAGCATCTCAAGCACCTTATGGTTTAGTTTCAGGACTTAGTAAATTAAAAATGTCCCTCACTCTAATTCAATGAAATGATAAAAGCACTTGCTAAATAATTAAAATTATGAAGATGATTGATTTGAATAAGGTCTGTTGGCTGTATTTACACTCTAGTTTAAGTGGACTTAGGAGTTAAAACCTTAGAGTCCATCTCTGGTGCTTTTGGTAAGTTTTCAAACAATAACTTGAGGGAGGATTTATCTTTGACTTACATTTCCCCCTACTTATTAAACCTTAAGGTTTGATCATGAGAGGGATTTCTCATAAACTTTGTTCCTTTATAAGACACAGTCATATTCCTTTCTCCTCAAGTCCTAATAGTGGAATAGGCAGATGATTTCCATCTATAGTTTCCAACTTGATGCATATTCCCTGCATGTTTCTAATTATCATAAGTGTTGTGAAATCCTCAAAGTGAATCAACTCTAGGTAGCTTTTATTTTAAAATAAGTTTATAGGCCATATAGTACTTCTGGCAAGGAAATGTTGTAGCACACTTTTAAAATGTCATTACAGGTGAACTAGATTCTGAGTGTCTTTAGAGCTGGCTGAGGATTTGTGTTTGCTGAGTGCTAATGTTTACTACAGCTACTAAATTCTGATGCAGGAGAGAAGTCAGCCAGACAGGGGCACTGTTGCCTCAAAAGTTAAGAGTAGAAAGAGTTACAGCCTTCTTTTACCATGATGTGTTTCACCTAAAATCATTTTGTTGAAGGCACACTTTGAACAAATAAAAAAGTCTTTTCCAAAAGTAATCTTAAGTTGTTCAGACTTGTAAGTCTTTACAAAAATCTGATGATTAGGCTATAACATTAAGGCTGAGTTAAAGCCAAAAAACCCAAAGTTGTTCAGCCTAAATTAAATCTTGTGCGTAGCTACAGTTTTCCAGTGTTCATCAGATTCTTAAGCAGAGTGGACCATCACCCGGAGAGGTTAAGCACCACTTTTTGGATATTAGTTGTAAGGAGCTTTACATATTTCGTGATGTTTGTCTTCATGGCTTCCCCAGGTTGCAGATATCAAGAAAGTCAACAACTTCATCAGAGAACAAGACTTATATGCTTTGAAATCTATTAAGATTCCAGTGAAAAATCACGGAATCCTAACGGAGACCCAGAAAGAACTCAGACCCCTCCTGAGCTCATCCACAGAGACCAGAGTGACCTTCGAGGAGCAGCCAGACCCAGACAGAGCAGCTGTGGGTGCCAGTGCCCCATCTAGCCCACTGACGGATTTCTTTAAGGGCATTGACCAGAATATTGAGCGTGCAGTGCAGTCAGACATCTTTTTGAGTGAAATGTCACCGCATCGAGACCTCCAGTCAGCCACTGCTTCCGGCTCCTCCGAAGCCGCCGACAAATGGTGCAGACTGTGGAATTCAGTGGTGGAATGCTGTGTTTATCATGCTTCTAATTGGAATTGTTTTACCAGTGTTTTATTTGGTCTATTTTAAAATACAAGCTACTAGTGACATCCCTAGCAGCTTGAATACAACTACTGTCCCCAATGGCTCGATGGCCATAAATGCAGTTCCAGGCCAAGCCCCCAAATTAGTGATTCCAGTGCCAACCCTCCCCTCTTCAGACAGCCAGTTCAGTCATACCCAAGGGGGGAACTAGCTGTTGTTCCTAAGTAATCAGGCCAGCTTTAGCAGTGGGGCTTCTGATGTGCATCCGTTAGCAATGGACATGTGCTGACTTTCCTTTTCTCTGACATTTGGACACGTTGCAGAAGCCACCGTTGTGTTCTCAGTAACACTCACCGTGGGGAACATCCTTGCCTGATCTAAGGCTGCGGGAGCCAAAACACTGGCACCCTCAGTCTCCTACATCCAGAGAAGAGCAGCAAGAGACATTTACACCTGACAGACGCTGCTTCCTGGAGGCATTTAGTGGACTGGCCGTGTCTTCACAGTAGCACCGTGTGCGCCCCCAAGTTGGACATGCTGGAAGGGAGAGGAATGGCCTTGGCAAACAGACCTACAGTGTGGGAGCCCCGGGGGTCGGCTTTGGTGGTCTTCCCGTTTGCATTGTCCCCTGCCTGCTGTGGAGGAGTGACAGGCTCTGACAAGTGCTGTTGTGTGTCTGCCCGGCAAAAGTGCAATAGTGTGGAATGTCACCCTGTTTTAGAGTGTGACACATTACAGTTGTAACAAGCCTTGCTTCATATTTGCCCCCTCAGATAGCCTTTTTGAGCCAATGTCCTGCCTAGAATTTAAAAAGCTCTAAATCCAAATTGCTGTAATATGAGTAAATAGTGGTTCTGTTCCTCGAACTTCTAGAGCTACTTAATCTGACACGCAGGCGTGTTTTAAGCTCTGCATGGTGCGACCAGCACTTCCTGGCCAGAACGTTCGGAGGCCATGGCCCAGTTTCGCCCGAGGAGCACCTGCACAGTGATTGCTACCTGGATCCCCCACATTAGCATTCTTGGAAGGAGCTCTTGCTGGTCAGTGTCTGGAGTGGAGTAAGTGTAGAGGGAAGGATCAGTGCCTGTCACCGAGGTCCCAACGTGTGGCACTTCTAAGGGCGAACAGTCACCAGTCCTGCATCTGCTGGCCTCTGTGTGCACCTGAAAGAGTGGTGCAGGGAAAACGGGGGTGCTACCTGCTGCTTCCTCAACTCCATTCTTTGGGATTCTAGAGCCACAGAACAGGAATGGCTTTCTTTAGGTGATTTCAATGTAGCTCATAGTGTTAAAATATCAAGCCCTTAACAGAGGGCCTACAGGTGACCCTCCTGTGAAAGGCCATAAAAAGAGGGACCTGAGGTTTGCCCATCTCCTCTTATGACGAGGCAAAAGGGGTGCTAATGCAGAGGCTGGAGGAGGGCCTGGGCGGGCCTCGGAGGCTCGCTGGTGGAGAATGGGTGAATGGGGTGAGGGCAGGAGCCCACCTTGGTCCCACGGTGTGGAAATCAGCCAAGGTGGCTGGCAGCCCAGCCTTGGAGAGGTCTGTCTCCCGGGAGGAAAACACGCTGCACAAATGCTGAGCTTTAATGCAGATTTAAGGCATTTGACACATTAGGCCTAAAGAGCAATTTGAAAGATCTTGTCATGTAAGAGGAAGGGAATGTGGCAGAACTCTTGAGATAGGCATCCAGTTTCTTTCTCCTTTCAGTTATGTGAAGAACTATTCTGCCCTGGGTTTAATTAGCAAATTTAAATTATCTTCAAAATAAAATGTTTTCTTCAAAACCAAAATGGTTTTCAGGATAAAATGAATTTGTGAACCTTTACTACAGGAAATTTTGATCATGTAAGGTTTTGATCATGTAAATGCTTTTCCAGTCAAATGTTTGTGTGCACTTTGCCCCTGAGGGCTACGGGTTTCTCTAACATTTATCACCTTTAAATTCACCCAGCAGGACTCAGACTCCCATGAGAACATGACTTTTGCCGGGCAAAGAATGAATATCTGTATACTTTTTTCAAGTGGAATAAAATAATTTCTTCTGTGAAGGAAAACTGATTCCTCCTTTTTAATCTGGGAGTTGTTAATTTGGAATTAAAAGATGTGGGATGATGTTGGAGAAAATGGAGGTGTCCATGTCCAGAGGGCGAGGCTGGCCCAGGGCTTGTGCCCACGGTCACTCCAGCAGGGGGGAGAACAAAGTGGTAGCAGGCACAGCCCGGCTGACTGGTCTGCATAACGTGCTTTAACATTGTTTTATTGGGCATGCATAAGCGAGACCACGAAGCTCATTTTTAAAGTATATTTTACTACATTTTTAGTGTGTTTTGGGAGTTAATGTTCTAAAGAAATAGATTTGTTAGATAGTCTTCAGTCCTTTTGGTCAAACTGTAGTGCTTACTATTGCAGAAGCCTAGGGAATCTGTCATGGGGCAAGTGATGCTCCCATTTTACTCTGGGGTGACAAGGCTGTAGGGACTAAGCAGAGTCTCAGGGTCACCCAGAGCAGGACTGCCCGGCCAAGGCCATGACACAGCCTCTCCTCACGAAGTTAGTTCTTTAAATTGCCTCTGCAGTAACTGAACACCCACGCCTGGGTTTGAGGGAGAAGGATACAGGCCCTGAGTTGATGGCTCATAGAGGGGATTTTTAACATTTTTTCCCACTTTTATTGAGGTATAACTGACATGCAGCACTATATAAGGGTGAGATGTACAGCATAATGATTTGACTTACATACATTGTGAAATGATTACCACAAGTGTAGTTAACATCCATCATCTCATAGTTAGAAAAAAGAAGGAAAAAAAAATTTTTTCCCATGTGATGAGAACTCAGGATTTACTCCCTTAACAACTTTGACATGTACCATGTAGCAGTGTTAGCTATCGTCTGACAGGCGCGAGGTGATATCTTAGTGTGGTTTTGATTCGCATTTCCCTAGTGGTTAGTAATAGTGACAGCTTTTCATGTACCCGTTGGCCTCATATCTTTCTTCATTGGACAGATGTCTATTCATGTCCTTTGCCCATTTTTAATTAGATTATTTGCTTTTTTGCTATTGAGTTACAGGAGTTCTTTATATATTTTAGATATTAACCCCTTATCAGATAAATGGTTTACAAATACTTTTTCCCATTCCATAGGTAATCCTTTCATTTTATTGATGGTTTCTTTTGCTGTGCAGAAGCTCTTTACTGTGATGTAGTACCACGTGTTTATTTTTTATTCTGTTGCTTGTGCTTCGGGTGTCATATTCAGAAAAGTCTTCACCAAGACAGATACGGAGCTTAATGCCAGTGTTATTTTCTAGGAGTTTTATGATTTCTGGTCTTACACTCAAGTCTTTAATCCATTTCAAGTTAATTTTTGTGAGTGGCATAAGATAGGGGTTTACTTTCATTCTTTTACATGTTAATACCCAGTTTTCCCAGCACTATTTATTGAAAAGTCTATCTTTTCTCCATTGAGTATTGGCTCCCTTGTTAAATATTGCTTGACGTATATGAATTTGTTTATTTCTGGGCTCCTGATTCTTGTTCCATTGGTCTGTGTCTGTTTTAATGCCATTACCATAGTGTTTTGATAACTGTAGCTTTGTAATATAGCTTGAAATCAGAAAATATGATACTCCCTTCTTTATACTTCTTTCTCAGGATTGCTTTGGCTATTCAGAGTCTTCCATGCTTCCATACACATTTTGGGGTAGTTCTTTCCTACTTCTTAAAAAAAAAAAGCCATTGAATCTTAATAGGGATATAGCATTGAATTTATAGATGGCTTTGCATAATATGGAAATTTTAATAATATTAAATCTTCTAATCCATGAGCACAGGATAGCTTTCCATTTATTTGTATCTGCTTCATTTTCTTTCATCAGTGTCTTGTAGTTTTAAAAGCATAGAGGTCTTTCACCCCCTTGGTTATGTTTATTCCTAAGTATTTTATTGTTTTTGATGCTGTTGTAAATGGGATCATTTTCTTTATTTCTTTTTCAAATAATTCATTGGTGAAAGGCTGAAAGTTTTTCCTCTAAAATCAGGAGCAAAACAAGAATGCCCACTCTCAAAAGTCCTATGCAATATAGTACTAGAAGTCTTATCCAGAGCAATCAGACAAGAAAAACAAATAAAAAGCATCAGAATTTGAAAAGAAGAAATAAAAATGTCAATATCTGCAGCTGGCATGATTTTATATACATAAAATCCTAAAGACTCCACCAAAAAACTGTTAGATTTAATTAACAAATTCAGTAAGCTTCCAGGATACAAAAATAACTTACAAAAATTAATAGGGTTTCTGTACACTAACAGTGAATTATCTGTCTTTCTCTGTCTGGCTTAGTTCACTAAGCATAATACCCTCCAGATCCATCCATGTTGTTGCAAATGGCAAGATTTCATTCTTTTAATGGCTGAATAGTATTACATTGTGTGTGTGTATGTATGTGTCTTTATCCATTCATCTGTTGATGGACACTTAGGTTTCTTCTATATCTTAGCAATTGTAAATAATACTGCTATGAACTTTGGGGTGTGCATATCTTTTCAAATCATTGCTTTTGTTTTTTTCAGATTGATACTCATTATTGGAATTGCTGGGTCATATGGTAGTTTTATTTTTAGTTTTTTGAGAAACCTCCCTACTGTTTTTCACAATGGCTGCACCAGTTTACATTCGCACCAACAGCGTACTAACGTCCCATTTTCTCCACATCATCACCAACATCTGTTATTTGTGTTGTTTTTGGTGATTGCCATTCTAACAGGTGTTGGCATTTCTCTGATGATTTACAATGTTGAGCATCTTTTCATGGCCATCTCTATGTCCTCATTGGGAAAATGTCTATTCAGGTCTTCTGCCTATTTTTTAAACTGGGTTGTTAGTTTCTTTGATATTGAATTGTATGAGCTGTTTTGGATATTAACCCCTTATCGGTCATATCTATACAGATATTTTCTTCCATTCAGTAGGTTTTTCAGTTTTTTTTTTCTTTTGAAGTAAGTTTACAATGTATCAATTTCTGGTGTACAGCATAATATTTTAGTCATATGTATACATACATATATTCCTTTTCATATTCTTTTTCATTGTAGGTTACTACAAGATATTGAATATAGTTCTCTGTGCTATACGTAGGAACTTGTAGGTAGTATCTGCAAATCTTGAGCTCCCAATTTGTCCCTTCTTACCTGCTTTCCCCTGGTAACCATGTTTGTTTTCTATGTCTGTGAGTTTGTTTCTGTTTCGTAAGTAAGTTCATTTGTGTCTTTTTTTTTTCAGATTCTACATATAAATGATATTGTATGGTGGTTTTTTAGTTTTGTGAATGGTTTCCTTTGCTGTGCAAAAACTTTTAAGTTTAATTAGGTCCCATTTATTTTTGCTCTTATTTTCTTTGTTTTAAGGGACAATCTGAAAAACATTGCTACAATTTATGTCAAAGAGTGTTCTGCCTATTTTCTTCTAGGAGTTTTCTGTTTTCTGGTATTACATTTAGGTCTTTAATCCATTTTGGATTTATTTTTGTATATCGTGTAGAGAATGTTCTGATTTCATTCTTTTATATGTAGCTGCCCAATTTTCCCAGCATCACTTATCAAAGAGACTGTCTTTTCTCCATTGTATATTCTTGCCTCCTTTGTCATAGATTAATTAACCATTAGTGTGTGAATTTATTTCTGGTCTTTCTGTTCTGTTCTGTTGATCTGTGTGCCAGTACCATACTGTTTTGATTACTGTAGTTTGTAGTATAGTCTGAATTCAGGGAGCAAGTGATTTTTCCAGCTCTGTTCTCTCTCAAGATTATTTTGGCTATTTGGGGTCTTTCATGTTTCCATACAAATTTTAAAAGTGTTCTAGTTCTCTGAAAAATGCCATTGGTATTTTGATAGGGATGGCATTGAATTTGTACATTGCCTTGGGTAGTATGGTCATTTTAACAATAGTAATTCTTCCAGTCCATGAACATGGTATATGTTTTCATTTGTTTGTGTTGTCTTCAGTTTCTTCATTGTCTTATAGTTTTCCAAGTACACGTTTCTAATCTCCTTAGGTCTGTTTATTCCTAGGTATTTTATTCTTTTTGATGTAATTATGAGTGGGATTGTTTACTTAATTTTTCTTTATGATAGTTCATTATTAGTGTATGGAAATGCCACCAATTTCTGTATATTAATCTTGTATCCCGCAGTTTTACCAAATTCATTGGTGAGCTCGGTTAGTTCTTTGGTGGAGTCTTTAGGATTTTCTATGAATGGTATCATATTTTACTTCTTCCTTTCTGATCTGGATTCACTTTATTTCCTTTTCTTGTCTGATGTGTGGCTAGGACTTCCAATGCTATGTTGAATAAAAGTGGTGAGTATGGGAGTCCTCATCGTGTTTTTTATCTTAGAATAAATGCTTTCAGCTTTTCACTGTTGAGTATGATGTTAGCTGTGGGCTTGTCATATATGGCGTTTATTATGCTGAGGTATGTTCCCTCTGTGCCCACTTTCTGGAAAGTTTTTATCATAAATGAATATTGAATTTTGCCAAAAGCTTTTTAAAAGCATCTATTGAGGTGATCATATGATTTTTATTCTTCAGTTTGTTAGTGTGATTTGTCACAATGATTTGTAGATATTGAAAAATCCTTGCATTCCCTGGGATAAATCCCACTTGATCATGCTGTATGATCTTTTAGGTTATTGTTGGATTTGGTTTGCTAATTTTCTTTTTGAGGATTTCTGCACTTTTATTCATCTGTGATTATAGACCTGTAATTTTCTTTCTTTTTGTGGTGTCTTTGTATGGTTTTGGTATTAGGATAATGTCCTCACAGAATGAGTTTGGAAGTGTTCTTTCCTCTGCAGTTTTTGGGGAGTAATACGAGAAGGATAAGTGTTAACTCTTCCCTAAATGTTTGCTAGAATTCACCTGTAAAGCCACTGGTCCTGCCTGGGCTCTTGCCATTGGGAGTTTTTAAAGTACTGACTCAGCTTCATCAATCTGTTTATAATCAGTCTGTTTATATTTTCTATTTCTTTCTGGTTTAGTCTTGGGAGATTAT